CGGGGGAGGCAACGTCACGGTTTCATGAACGTTATGGTTGTTACGTGACGCATAACGTTACATCGTAAGCAAATAAACTTATGCCTCTCTGAATTGTCAGGAGAGAACATTCTACAATTATTAATAATGCTGAAATTAAATATAAATTCCAGATCATATAATCGAAATTAATTAAAAAAAGTTTAACAAAAATATTGCAGCTTCTCGAAATTAATAACAAAATCTTAACAACGTCTTAACTATTGCAACGTCCCTAAATTTTCGTTAACATGTCTATAAAAACACTAGTAGCACAGTACATTGGCTATACATTGGCTAAGATTGGCTAAACTATAAAAAATTGGTTATATTGAGGATACATTGTCCAATATTTCCCAATGTATGCCAATATTGGTTATATAATAAACGTCAATGTATAGCCAATATTGCATGTCAATCATTACTCAATAATGGCTTGATATTGGGCATAAATTGATTAATATTTCCAAACGTAATGCCAATATTCACTATACAATAAATACCAATATATAGCCCATATTGCATGCCAATCATTACCTACCCAATATTGGCTTTACGTTGGGGTTACATTGACCAATATTTCGCAACGTAATGTCAATACTGATAATACAATAAATGCCAATGTACAGTCAATATTGGCAAAAAATTAGTCCCCAATATTGGCCCAATATTAGAAAATCAATGTATAGTCAATATTGACCAAATATTGTGGCCCCTAATATTGACCCAATATTAGAAAATCAATTTATAGCCATTATTGGGTAAAAATTGGCTCCGCAATATTGGTCTAATATTGGTTTAACAATATTGGGCCAATATTAGTGATTCAATTTTTTCCCAATATTGGCTGTACATTGTTTTCCCAATATTTCGCTAATATTGTTTTTACATTGTTTTTCCAATATTTGCGAAATATTGGAAATACGATGTATAACCAATATTAGGTAAAAATTGAATCCCTAATATTGGTCTAATATTGTTGAACCAATTTTGGTTAAATATGACTACTACTTTACAATATTAGACTAATATGGGTGTGCAATTCTTAATATTGGCTGTACATTTGTTTCCCAATATTGCATTAATACTTTGTGCTATTAGAGAAAGTTTCATTAAAATTTAAAAATATTCCACGAAAGTTAATATTATTTTCAGATAAATTTATGATATAACTTTTTGTAAATTAAATAAAATGTAAATATATCTAAAAGAGATAGAAATATAGAAATACTTAAATTCTTAATTTTTAATTTTTTGATTTTATATTTTTAATTTTCTAATTTTCAATTAATTTTTCTAAGGCTGGTATTCATAGTTAATTCTTATATTTGAGGTTGTTTTAAGTACAGTCTTAAGATGTCATAAGCCAATCTCATAGGCCGGTATTCATAGTCACACTTCTTAATTCTTATATTCAAGATCATCTTAAGTTCAGCTTTGAGGTGTCACGAACCAATCAGAGGGCCGCATTAGCGTCTTTAAGACATTACTTAAAACGGTCTTAAAATAAGAACCGACTATGAATATTGGCTTAAAAAAGATATCTTTTCTAATCTTTTTGATTCAAGTTAATATAATCTGCAAGCTCCCCGGAATAATTAATCTCATTGTGACAAAGCCCAATCACTTTAATTCAAAACATATTTTACATGTATGGTTTTCCATGAAAAAAAAATCTCGACGACTGCGGCAAACATGCACGACAGGTATCGTCCGCGATCCTAAATTATTCGTCGTTCTCTATTGCCGAGCCGGGGAATCTTTGGCAGGTACCGCGCGACCCGACGCGACGTCGATGAAACGCAGAAAAGTCTCATCTATCATGTCGAAACGCGTAACGCGAAAATAGTCGCAAGGATACGTTCGGGGCTGGACTTGGCGTTGGGCTCACGCGAGTTTGCGCGACTATGCGAGTTATCGGACTCCCAAGATTCCTGATAGTAGCGAGTTATAGTAGCACAAGGCTGTGTGGACTGATGTGGACCAATTCTGATTAACTTAATTGTCGATTAAAGCTCACAATCAGTTCCAGAACTTATGGTTAATTCTTAACCGAGATTCAACTTATCTCTCATCTCTTCCAATTCTAGAATTCGATAAGTCGAACCTCGGTTAAAAGTTAACTGTGAGTTGTGAAACTAAACTTCAGTGTCTTAACTGTGATTGGTCAATTTTGCTAAACAGCAAATGCGATTGATCAGTTCCAGTGTAACAATCAGTCGATTAAGTTAATCGGAGTTGATGAGGTAGGCTCTATGTTATTGTCGCGATGTCACGGATTTCTGTCACAGACAAATCACTCGGATAAAAGTGGTGTCTAGGGATATAGACCGGATATTATCTCGAGATTGTATACAAATTCATAAATTCTATGATTTTTCTAGCGTTTCTAATTTTATCCGCATTTGTTAGGAATTTCAGTTTAGAATACACATGTCTTCTAACTTAATTTTGTCTTTTTATTCTGTCTCGGTATACGTTTTTATTCTATCTCCGTATGTGAAGAAATCAAAATTTACAATTACAAAATTAATTAATAAATGGAAATTAATTATTTAATAAAAGAAATAATTAATTCTTGAGTGAAGAAAGATGCATTTTTTCAAGACTGCATTTCTTGATACGGCTAATCTCATCAGATATTAATTGTATAATAATAAATATACCTTTGGAAAATCTATGTATGTGCCGTGCTTCATTGGTTTGCCAAAGATATTTCAAGCCGTGGGAAAGGGCAAAGTAGGCTCATTCCTTTAAGAGCATGCGAAAGATTATTACGCAATGATAAGAAGAATATTACGAGATGCAACATGAGGGCAAGGGCTGCTGTCGCTTAAGCACACGCTGGGGATAAAAATATGCGCTGAGAGTCAACTTTGACTTCTTTGTATAGTTAATACAGCTAGCATCTCTTTAACTTCATAAATGTCGAATCAATTTTTATTTAGAGAAAATTTTATATAAAATTCTTTTGAATTTATTAATTTATCGCTCAATTTTAAAATTTAAATATCTTTGATAAATGTCGGATTGATTTTTATTTAGAGAAAATTTCACATAAAATCTCTTTGAACTTATCAATTTGTCACTCAATTTGTCACTCAATTTTCAAAATTAAATATCTCAAAGAATTAAAGTTTCGATTAAAATTTTGTTAAAGTGCGATCTATCCAGTCAAAAAACAATTTTTAGTTTAGAAAAAAGAGAATAATAACATTACTAAAACTTCAATTTTTGGGGATGCTTTATACTTTTTTTTTACATATAGAAGGTTATATATGTAATGGAAAATAAATTAAAAACGGTTTTATTGAAAAATCATATTTATTTCTATAACAATTCCAATACATTGTTAATTTTTCCTTTGGCTTTTATTTTCGCTAGTACTCTTCTGGAGGAATAAATTGAGGATGCTTCATAGTTCAAAGCTATAGCTTTATATTTTTTATCTCGCTATAGACACATGCATGCGGCATGCATGTACGTGAAATATTTCGTTCCAATATTTTCAAACACTAGGAAGAGTGCTTTCTATCCGACAAGGAAGAATGGAATCAAATGAATGTGTGAAGTATTAATAATTTTACGAAGGTAGACGCAGCAGACACGGGGTTATTTCTGCGAACAACGCGATCCTCGGGAGTCCGTCAATTGTCGGTCGGCTATGCGATAAATATATCACGTCTACAACGGACCAGCATCCGCGTAATATTGTTGCTAGCTAAGAAACACGTCATACAAATGCCGTTCAGACGCGAGAAATTAATCTCCCGCTATCTCCAATTTGTGAGACGAGAACATGACGTCCCGAAGGATCCTTGAGAAAGCCGCTATTACAGCCGATCAAGCCTACGCTCTAGGCCAGGGGCTAGGCTAGGCTATTTCCGCGATTCAGCTTATGAACCAAAATAGTCGTAGAGAGGAACTTCGGAAGAAAATGTTGGGACTGTCCACAAGGATCCCAGTGTGCCTGGCTAGCGCAAGATTGTCTCTGCTTCTTTTCACCCAATTTTTCATCATCAACAGCACATTGTTGAGAATTCGAATTTTCACCCCTCTGTCCACTTAGTTTTCTAAACACAGCGGGATTAATCTAGACAGTAATCTAGCAGAGACATCGATATAGATCTTCGCGGATTATATAATATCTCTTTCGAAAATACGTGGACACAGCGGCGAATATAAATGGCTGGCTTTCGTACAATATAAAAGTATAAAAGGAATTACAAGCATCGATTTGATAAATCTTTTTAGAAACTTTCTTTGTTTTTTCCTCGTGTTTTAGAGATACTTACATAGAAAGTTTATCGATTAACAATATATTAATTAATATATACATAACTAAATATATATGTATAAATTTATAATTAATATCTTAATTGTTTAATTCCAAATATATGCATTTTTATTAAAGCATTAAATGATATAAAAAAGATAAATATGCATTAATCCTATGTACGAACGGCAGTAAATTTATATAAACTTATTAAGAAAAGGAACTGATGAACGCATCTAATATATTGAACAAGACATCTCTAAAGAAATAAAAAAATAAACATATTTTTACTTTCTATGTCTAAACAGCTCATTTAAATGATTTATAACTCTTGACAGAATCTTCTCAGAATTCTGTCATAATTTTGTATCCGTGTAATACGAAAGATATCTGAGGAATCAAAATATACATATATGTAGATAAAAATATACATCAAAATACATAGCATACTTATTTAATAATAAAGTAAAATTTCTGAAACACCTCTGACGTGAATTATAGTGACGTTAATTATAGTATCGTTTATTATAAGCGAATTATAGTGTCGTCTAAGTGACTTCGAAATATAATGGAAGAATATAATTCGAAAAGCCAAGCGTTTTCACCCTTTTATTAATTGTCACTGTGAGTGGCAGGCGCATGTCGGCGCACTCACACTTATTCGTACTACTCGGACCGTGATTGCTCTCCGGTCTATGCACAACAGCTATTTCCACTGCCGTCGGCGACGATAAGACAGGTGCTAAGCTATGCCAGGCGGTGCGATGCTGCATCGGCGATGAGGTGAAGATTTCAAAATCCGCCAATAAGAGAAGCCCGCAACGGAGTATTTTCAATCGTCTGTACGGTCGCTGGGCGATATTCCTCCGTCGTCCTGGGAACGGCACCGGACCGATAGGTGAAGGCGAACGGATAGGTGGGTTCGCAGAGCATATTTCTGGCCGAAGTCACGAGATACGATTTTACGGGCGGTGAGCGAGCGGTAACGAGCTCGTCATTCGAGAGAGACAGGAAAAGATAGAGGAAAAAGAGGGAGAGAAAGAGAGGAAGAGAAGAGCCAAAGACGAAGACAAAGGATACGCGTAATATGCATGTGACGATGAAGAGGGACGGGGGAAGTGGAGGAACGGTATTCGAAGAGAGGACGGACTCACGTTGCTTTTGGTAGACTCGAACATTGCCGAGCAGCAGCCAATTTTCGGGGAAATTCCATTAATACTCGTGGCTTTGTCCCACTTCGAATTGATGATTCGTCGTCGTTCTATGCGTTACACATTAAGACAAATCATTTTATGTGCGATTATTATGTGAATTTATAATACTTCAGACCTTAACTTAATTTACATGTTATTTTATATTTTAATGTAAGTAAATTTATAATCGATTTTTGTTAACACTGAAAATGACCCGATCGGGTACGAAACGTTTGTATATACAATTGTTTTTGTTTGTACGATTTAACTATTTATATTAAAATTATTATCTTAGGCTCGTAATCCTATTTTATATTATTATTTTATTATGTGAATATTCATATCGTATCTTTCAATTAAGGTGTTAAAAATTAATAATCACCAATTCAAGTTGATGATAACTCGATATCAAAGCAATCATTCACTCCTTTTTAATAATATATTCAATCTTTTGTTAAAAGAAACGTCTCATGAAAGGCGACATCGGAGTTAATGATGCATGAGGAGTCCTTACATTAGATAGAAATCCAATTTAATACTGGAAATTACTTATTTTGAGTATTAAAAGCACTGTTGTTCAGTCTTTTTATTACTCAGAATAATTAATCATTACCTTCCAGTATTAAATTTCTGTAAGGGAGATGTAGAAATATATTATTATATAATATTATAATGATGATAAAATTTATATTGTACATAATACAATAATCAGTGATGTAACTACAGGGGGCCATGGGGGGGCGGCTGCCTCCTCCGCCCCACTCGCATACAAGACAGCCGCCCCCACAAGTGCAAAACTTCGTATGCTTCATATTAATGATTCGTTATATTTTTATATGGGTGATTTTGAACAAAAACTTCCAATATTTTTGTTGTGAGTTTATAACAGAAATTTCTAACAGTGCAGAAACCGAAAAAAATTATTTAAAGGGGTATTCTGGTTTGTAAGGCTAAAAATTACATGATTATTCAGGAATTTTTTTAAAAGAAATGAATTAATATATTAATATAAAACTTTTTATTTGTACCAAATAGATATTTAAAAATATTTTTTCCTGTCCATATGTATCATACAAAAAAAAGATACGCGGTAGTACCCAAGATGTATGAAAAAATTTCTTTTTGACGCGTTGACATCATTCCATTAGTTCTAGTAGCCTGAAACCAAAAACCTAAGAAATTATTATATTGTAAGAGTTACATTATTACTAGAACATAAGGAAAAAATCGAAAATTGTTGAAACGGTAATGTTTTAAAAAATTGATTTTCACCTATAAATTTGTTTCGTTTTTTTATATAACAGAATGGAATAATCGTAAATTAAATTCCGTATTTTCAGTAATAAAAGAACATATGCTAAATGGACATGCAAAAAATTCAAGTCTATCGGACGCTCAGTTCCCGAGATATTATGTCAACACGGTTGAAAAATGCTGTTTTGAGAGAAATGTTTAAAGTTTCAACTACACATTTACAATATTACGATTTATAATAGTAAACAATGAATAACTCAGTTATTTTACATTATTTCCGTAAACGACTTTGGTAATATATTTTCAAGACTATCAACTTTCCGAAAATGCAATAAAAGAAAAATCGATTTTTTTTGACCCGACAAACTTTCTCCCAAAAGTCGGTAAAATTCGGAATCTCATATTTAAATATTCAACAATTTTTACCTCAAATTTGAAGTCAATGATTTTAAAATATTTTGTAAATGAGTTTCTGAAAAAAGAAATTAAAAAAACAAAATCATAACTGTTACATATATGTTGTATGAAGAATAACAAGTTTTTACGCCACATGACGTCAATGCCAGTTAATTAGAATAAAATTTTCTCTTCTGCGCATTCATTCATTTTTTATTCAGCGATAATCGAATATATAAATAGAGTAAATAGAAAAAAGTGAACAGAATAGTGTTATTAGATTTGATAGAATAAAAATAAATAGAATGTATGAATTTGATCCCTATTTATTGAATATTTTCCATAATAATCGGCGCCCCTTCCGCCTTTGCTCCCTCCGCTCCTCAAGGCTAGGTACGCCACTGATAATAATTGCAATGATGTGCGATCATATGTTCACATGATAGATGTTCCGGTATATTAAAAGAAACACGAGGCATCTAATGAAAGGCGACGTCGGAGGTAATGATGCATGAAGAATCCTTACAGAGAAATCCAATTTAATACTGGAAATTACTTATTTTGAGTATTAAAAGCACTGTTGTTCAATCTTTTTATCACTCAGAATAATTAATCATTACCTTCCAGTATTAAATTTCTGTAAGGGAGGTGTAGAAATATATTACAATATTATAATGACGATAAAATAAAATTTATACATCGTACATGATACAATAATTGCGATGATGTGAGATCATATGTTTACATGATAGATGTTCCGGTATGTTGAAGACTCGCCAATGGATTTCAATTTCACAGACAAGCGCCGGCGTGCGTTTACACTGCTGCCAAATGTGTTTACGTGTGTCGTGATCCAGTACCATTTTTATAAGTTTGAGAAATGTCATCCGCCCACGTCGACGTTATATTTTCTGTATTTGTACACGTTGATCGTCCGCCAGGATTGCATTTGCGTACGTGGAACTGCACGAGATTGATATCTCAATACGATTTTTTCAACGTGTTAAGTCGTTAAATTATAAAATAGCGTAATAATTATTAAATAATAATAAGATTACAAAACAGTAAGAGATAATTAAATCTAATAATCGACCAAAAATGTTAATTATCTAATTAATCATGTTAGAAGTTAATCTATTATGTAAGGTCTGACTCTCCTTCACACGCATATTTGTAACTCAAGGATCAGTTAAAAATATAGTATTATACAAACATTAGTATTATATAAACATTATAGAAAAGACAGTGTTCACACAAATCGAATTTTCATTACAAAAAATTAAGAGACTAAAAGATTATTACATCTTTAAAATACGATGTGATAACAGTGAATTTTTCTATAACGTTAAACCTCGCAACAGGTGATCGTTGTTCGTTGCAAAGAAAAAGATATTCAAACATTAAAACTTTCAACTTTTAAATCTTCAAAAAAAAAAAAAACATTCCCCAGTTACACCATATAGACAATCTTATTTTTTTTCTTATTTCAAAATCTGATTGAGCGAATCACGATTGCAACGCGAGTATCAATCAATTTTGAGACGTTTCGATTTTAGCAATTTAATTAACCCAATTCCATAGTCCAGGGTCCGAGCCCATGCGGACGACCTTTACCTCGTCTATGTAGTGTGAGAGGAGGGACCATCATCTCTCGAGGAGTCCACCTGCCATCGGATACCAGCGCGACCAAGCTGACTGT